CAAAATGGCCAGACCACAGTCAGGTGGCACAGGAACCAACCCAACAGAAAACTGGATCAAAATGGTCTGTTTTTAATCCTGTGGATGCTGGACCTCAAACACAACAACAGGCAAAAGAGCCTTTTTCGTCTTGGAACTTTAACCTGCATAAAGATCCGCAGCAGGCTGGCAATGAGAAATCTGTTAGACTGAGTTGGGGACTTCAAAAACAAGGTGCAACCCAACCTGCATCTCAAACTACTCTAAATTATTTAAGCAATCTAGGTATTTTTGAACCACAAACAAGCTCTTCAAAAGATGATGGTAAAGAGCCAATTCCCAAGCCTAACGTAATGAAACTGCATTTTTCTGTTCCATTTCAGTTTAACAGCCATTTGAGAGAAGGTTCTGATTTGGACAGTAAAAATATTGGTGCTGAGCCAAACGATCAGATTCAGGGCAATTTAAGAGTTCCAGGTACTAACTTGAAAGATGTGATGGAGGAGCCCAGAAAAAAAGAGGGTTCCCATGAAATTTCCATCCCATCCATTAAACTGGGGTTTTCCTTGCCAATTTTATCAAAACTGTCAAATGTTACTCAAAAAAGTGATGACCTAGTAATGATTAGACCAGAAAATACAGTTTCAATTGGTAAAGAGTCAGCAAAAACCCAATCAAAGTCACCCCAGATGAAATGGCCCATCTTGAGATTTGAACATGCCAAGCACCAAAAACCACAAGAGCGAGCTGAAAAGAAATGGCCATTTCTAAACCTTGATGCTCTTCAACAAACTAAACAACCTAATGTGCCAGTTTGGTTAAAAGCTACTGATGGCATATCACCTTTTTTATCCTGGCACTCAAACCAGCCAGTTAACAAGGACAAAACCCTGACTGAACAGAGCAAGGGAGTTCAAAAGCCAGAAATGAACAAACCTCAATCTCCAATCCTTTCTATTACAAGGTATCTCCAACTTGTTGACAAACGACCCTCGATAAAAGATGATCAAACCGTTCAGCCTAAACCATCTCAACCTGAAATGCCTCACAGTTCACGGTCCAGTTCTAGGATCAACCCTAGTAGCAACACCTATACTTCAGGTCAAACTAGACATTCAGGTGGTAATCTGCTTAGATTTGCTTCTAAACTGGATGATCTATTTAAACCCATTGCTCATGAGCAGAATGCAGAGACAGAACATCACTCGAGTCGTCTCCACCCTCAAAGTGGATATGGCCAGTCATTCGAATCTCCCAAGTTGAATGCTGCCCATGCCTCTAAAAAAACCCCAAACGTGGAAAAAAGAAACTTCCCCTTATTTCGCTCAGTACAACAGTGGGCAAAAAGCATCTGAAACATCAAAAACTCCCAATTTTCATTCAACTAGATATCAACCAGGAAAGGAATCTTTGAGACCGGACACTGAACACAACCCAGATAATAAAAGCAAATATGGAAAACTCTTTGGGGATGGGCTTTTTGACAGGTGGCATTCCAGTCAAACCTCCAGGACTCCTGAATACCGTGATAAATGGAGTGAAAGGAACACTGCAGGAACGTCTCAGAATTTGAGATCTCCCTTATGCGACTCGTCTTCTAGTTCCAGTGAGCAAAATTCATTCAGACAACAGTTTAACTCTCCATCATACAAGGAATCCCAGTCAGGAGTAGACGAATGTCCAAATAAACCCGAGAAGTATGAGCCGTCCTATAAGATTCAAGTAAATTATTCTCCAAGTGCTGAGACAACTGCGGTTTCTGCTCCATCTGCTTTTCAACCAGTTTTGTCTGGCTCAATCTCACACCCCTTTCCTAGTGCCTTTCATCTCAAACGATATGATACTCAAAGTCAAAAGCCTCTGAGGTCCAAGTAACCTACAAGGCTCTGTCCTCTGCTCCCAGAAGGCCTTCATAACAATGCTGTCAAAATGACTAACACTTCTGTGAAGTTTTAACTCTACTGTGTTTTCCCCTGATCAAATATATAAACATTACCCTCAATTTATAGTCTTCATAATGGGCTTTAAAAAATTCAAGCTGCTCCAGATCTCAGATTAAGCAGTTTTCCTCTTCAGCTCAAGGAGTCAGTCACCAGTATTATGGATGTAAACGAGATTACTCTGAGGCCACTGTCATTTGCTATCAAACAGGACCCTAATTATATATATATTTATGATGATCCAAGTTTCAAGAACCCAGTTTTGTTTTTTGCAAAGTTTTTAGTTGCTTATCTTCCCAGCCTGGTCTATCAGGGAGTATTGTTTAATAGCCCTGCCTACCTGACATTAACACTCCTGTACTTCGAATTTGGTGGCTTGCATCTAAATGGAAACTTAAAACCTTCTCCAAACGAGTTTGTAGATTTCAATGAAGGATTGAGCCAGATTTCCCCACCCAAAGCCCCAGTGATCTGGATGTGCATTTTTATATTATCTACGTGTCGACAGTCTTTACAGGCTGAGGGCAAAGTGGAGCAGCCACACTGGAACAGGGAGCAAGTGAGTCTTTTTTTTTTTTTTTTTTTTTTTAAGTTCTGAGATATCTAACAATTTAACTATACTGCTATATTGTCTTTTTTCTCTCTCTCTCTCTCTTACAGGTTATACAGCTCAACTGAAGCACTGAAACTGATGCATTCTCCATTAAAATTTGTTCAAAACTACTGATTCTCAATGGATTCTTTTACACAAATGTTCTTGGTGCTTCAATGATGTTGCAGATTTTTGACACTAAAGCGTAAAACAATTTCCCCAGTCAAACTACCAGGGATGTCAGTCTTTCAGTATGTCTTTGTTCAAATCCATAGGACGATTAATGGCCAAACTGCTTGGGATTGACATGGGCAAATTTGTTGCCATATGTGAAATGCAATGATGCATTGTCTTTTTTTTAATTAAAAATAAATAAATTTAGACATTTGAAGTTCAATCACTTGGATTTAACTAAAGTGGCCTCTTGTGAGAGCAAAAGTTAAATATTTAAGTTTGCATGAAGCAACACTGTTGTTCTTGGTCTAAAGCAAAATTAGCCAAGTTAACAAGTTCTCAATTTGTCCTAATGCCATCTAAAACTAAAATAAAAAATTGCAGGTTAAAAAAAAAGAAACGACTTTAAAATAAAATTGGATACAAATTGGAAAATTCTCTCAAACATTAATGTGACCTCTAAATTAGACCTAAATCATACTAATGAAAAAGTTGGTGTGTGTGTCTCTAAATTATCAGTTAACTAAACATGATTTTTTGTAAAACTATAAATGGTAACATTGCTATTTTGCCATGTAGCCGTCTTGGTATTTTTTTTTTTGGCATTGACCAAACATGCAGTGTTTTTTTTTTTTTTTTTTTTTTTTTAAAACTACACACTCAACATCAGAATAACTAAAATGCCTTTTTAAAAGGTCACTCATTGGCTAAGAAACAAATGGCAACCTTGGTTTCTCCTTGAATGTGATGTAAAACATTTGTAGGGCCATGTTTTCTTTAAAGGGTGAGTACATGCACACCTTTTTTATCTGGAAGCTGGGACTTTTCCGTTAAGTATAATGAAAAGTGTGTGTGTGTGTGTGTGTGTTGGTGAGGTATTGCTGTAAATGAATAAACTAAAGGTTTCAGACAATTCAGAAGCATGTATAAATTAAAACCGGTGCAAGAAGGTGGTTTTCATCTAAACCTTAAATAATGCCACAATTTTAATTAATGCAAGTTGCAATTCATGGTTTAAAGTAAAATGATTTATAGGATGGAAACTTTTCCTTCATGAGGTTCAAAGAAACGAGTTTCAAGTAGGTTTCAAATTCAAGGTCTTTGACACGCAAAGACTGGAGATGCAGTTCTGTCGTGTAGTTCCCATTTCTTGTGCCAAGTCATAAAATTGAGTTTGCAGACTCATGAACAATATTTTTTTTCTGCATTCCTTATAACTCATGCTATGAACATTTTCATGTAGTTTGTCAAACTTTGTAAGATCTGTTTGTGCTCAGTCACTTGCATTGAACTTTAGCTCATTATCTTTAAAGTTTGCCAAAATATGGCCAATTTTGTGTTGGCTGCAGCAAACATTGATGTTGGTCATCTTGAAGTGACTCCTGAAGGTATTCAGTTGTAACCACATACAATTCTGAAGTCTAAACTTAGATCAGCAGAAGTTTTCCATGCTCTGTTGACTCCTTTGGTCTCAGTCAAGGTCATTCTTCAGTTCGGTCAGGGTGTATTAACAGCGTAAAGATGCTATTTACTCTTTAAGTTCTGACCAAAACATACCCACAAATTATTAACTTCTGTTAAAAAAAATAAAAAAAAAAGACAAGAAATGGAAAACAAAATCAAATGCAGATAAAACTTATATTTGCTCACTTTTTCTTTAATTTTGGTTAAAAGCTAATGACTAATCCGTAGAAGATTGTGTCACACAATTTATTCCTGAATGGAGCAGTAGAATTCCTGGTACAGCTCAGACCAGCATTTCTTGGTTGACCCCTGCAACGTGAACTTGTCCATGTTGGACTTAATAGTTCCTGTAATGAGTCTTGTTTGAGTGTTCACTGAACAGGTGAACAACTTATATGACCTCAGGCGCTTCCTGCATTGCTACCGTGAGGTCAAATTTAAACCCAACCCTGGTAATAAAGCCTCCCATGTTCACCTTAAACTGCAGCGTGGATGCGTTACCTTCATTGTCTCACCGATTGCTGCAAGTGACAGGAAAGATTTTTATTTTTACCAGCAACGATCAGCGCACTTTACTAATTATTTTAGATTCTGACACCAAAAATGGAATTACCAGCGGCCAACAATGGTGTTCACTTGGCTGCGTACAGATCTAACCTCCCACTGTCTGTGCTTAATGGTAAGACAAATGGAGGGTTTGATGAGTCAGAGTATTCTCAGGCCTACGGTGATAGCAGCAGTGTAACGTCCCATGCACCTGGTGCTCTCACTGGCTACGAGACTATAGATGCCCCACCACACTATGACTTCTACACCAACACTCAGGTACTGGGCCGACGGAGACGCTCCAGACCATCGCTGTACCAGCTGCACGCCAACCCTGAGGTGAGTAATCTCAGCCGTGTATCAGCTCTAATAATTGTTAGCACTGAAATGGTTAAAAAGAATAAAAATTTAAATTTGTAGTTTGCACATGTAAAATTTTGTTTTAACTATTATTGCTACTATTTTCAATAGACTACTATTACTTATATTATGATTAGCTTGCCTTAATTCCATTATACAACTTAGTTATTTATAAAAACAAGGCTATTAAAAACTATTTTCAGGAAGAAATGTATAAAGTGTTTGCATATTTACTAAAGAGATGAAGAAAAATATTTAAAAGTAATTCACAGTAAGTATAACTGCCATCCTAAACCTTCTCTTGCAAACTTTTTTGTTTTGTTTTTTAGTAAACAAAGCTGCTTTCTTGAGACAAATTTCAGAAGCTCGGACGTCATAGCTTCATTGTATCATATCGTAATGTTACATTAATTTCTGACGCATTAAACTGAATATTTTGTAATTTCAAATAAGCATGTTTAATATCTTTAGTGATGCTTTTTCTGGCATGTTAGTTATTTGAAGGAACTATGATGGCATTTAGTTTACAAAAAAATAGAAATGTGCTTGGACGTGAAGATTTTATGCAAATTTGCTGATGTCCGTGTAGCTGCTTTGTTGTTTTTCTCTTTTTGTTTGTATGATTGATGTAACACAACTTCATTTGACCAGGATGACTCCAGACCTCCCCTATATGAGGAGACAACAGGTGGACGGATGGATGACGACAGTTCTGAGGAAGAGGAGGATGAGCAAACTGAAGCACTATCCGAACCCACTCGTTTTGGCTGGGTACAGGGCGTCATGGTAGGTAGAGCGGGATGAACAGCAAATGACACAAATGCATGTAGAGACGTGTTCAAGGCCTAATGTTGCTTTGTTCTTACAAGGACAAAGCAAATCTACAAGACAACCTTTAAGCAAATATTTATTATTACCAATAAATATCAAATAAAAACATACGAATGAGGAGAACTCTCAAATTGTGGATTGAGTTTTAAAACCAGTGGTACACAAAATGAAAACAACAACAAAAAAAATCCAATTTTCTTTACGAGAGAAACAAAAAGTAAATGGGTCAAAGACAAAACGTGTTTATCAAGACTTTCCTCCAGTTGTTGTTTTTTTTTTTCAACAGATCAAAAACATTCAAGGATTCAAGGTTCTTTGTCATTCACATGGCATGTGGTACATGAGGTGGAACAAAACTATGTACACAGGGTCCCAGTTACATTCAAGAAAAATACAAATTGTAAAGAAAAACAGTTGTAAGATCCAAGACATGAACTAAGAAATATGCTAAACTAAGAATACACTAAGCACCAATAGTGCAAAAACAATGCGCCAAACAGCATGTTGTAAAAAAAAAAAAAAAAAAAAAAAAGTTTAGGTTAAGTCGGTCCCAGCAGTTCTTCTTTCGATTGTATCCTCAAATGGTGTCCCTATTGAGTTTGTCGATTCCTACAAATACTTGGGTATCTTGGTCGACTTGCATCTCTCTTTTAAGCTCCGTTGAAAATTTGGTAAAGAAATTGAAAGCTAAACTGAGTTTCTTTTTCAGAAATAGATCCTGTCTAACTCTGAATGCTAGAAAACGCCTTGTATCTGTGACTGTCCTTCTCTCCATTGACTATGGTGACATTATTTATATGAACGCTCCTACAAGCACCCTGCAGATGTTGGATGCTGTCTATCATGGTGCGCCAAGATTCATAACTGGCAGTAACTACCGTACCTGCCACCATTGCGCCCTGTATTCACTGGTTAACTGGTCATCATTAACTTCATGCAGACTCTGTCACTGGTACATTTTCATCTTTAAATCATTTCTTGGTCTGCTGCCTTCATACATCTCCTCCTACATGTCTCTGCGTGAGTGCAGCTACAGCGTGCGCTCTCAGGACATCATTACCTGCAGTGTTCCCTCAGTGCGGACTGAACTAGGCAAAAGGGCCTTCTCCTACTCCGCTCCCGTTTCCTGGAATATCTTGCAAAAAGATCTGAAGCTCTCGACCTTGACCTCTCTAAGTGGCTTTAAACACCTGCTAAGTTCCTGGGAAAACCCCATACAGACATGTTCCTGTTTTTAGTTTTCTACACCGCCTTACCTAGCTGGAATTTTTTTTTTTTTTTTTTTGCTACTTTTGTTTTTAATTTCCATTTTATTTTCACTTGTTTAAAAAAAAAGTACACATTATTTAGGATTGTCTGTTGTTGTCTACTGTTGTCATCACTCTCTGCTAAAATCAGGTCTCTCTTGTAAATGAGGCCCCGAGGCTCAATGGGATTAACCTGTCTAAATAAAGGTTGAATGAAAAGTGGCAACTCCAAATGGTCTATAGGGGTGAGTAAGGTGGGAATGGCTGTTTGTCTCTGTGTGTTCCTGTGATGGACTGGAGACCTGTCCAGGGTGTCCCCTCCTCTCGCACAGTGACCAGTGTAGATGGGCATCAGCTCCCCTGGGCCCCCAAAAGGGACAAACGAATAAATAAGATGGTGGATGGTCAATATGATGACATCTCATGGTATTTACTGTATAATCGTGCTTGTTTAGCCAGCCAAAACTCAACAGACATTACAGCTCAGGTTGTACAAAGACAATTATGGTTTCATGATGTGGAAATGTTTTATACTAAAACAGAACGTGCCCAGTTTTATTACAGCATCTTCTGTTTTTACCTTGTATCACAAACCATTGTTTTCAGCGAACCATTTAACACCTTTTCCCAGTACGAGGTGGGAATTACAATAAAACAACGTGCATTACTCAGTAACTTCAAATTACCACGTATTCTGGTTTATACGTCTTCAGTTGTTGTATTAGCTAATCATAAAGTAACTTCAAAAGGCCACACTTGGAATTTATGTGCCTGGCTATGTCTGCTTGTCTTTTTGTGAGTACGTTTGTGGAATATGAACCTTTAAACTTCACTTTTGTCACTGGATCGGTTGTGTGATGTATATGGGAAGTTTTACACATCTCTCTTATCAGTTGTATTAAAATCAAACCGAGTCAGAATACTTAAGAGGCCTAAGAAACTTTTAAAGTCTGGAACATTCAGTAATGTAATTTTGTGCACTTTTATTGATTTTTATTATTATTATAAGACATATTGTGGAAATAATTAATAAATAGCACCTATAACGATCTTGATACCCAAAATGAGCAAATGATGTGGGATTTATATGCCAAACAAATGAATGAAGTGGCTTCCATCTTTTCAATTCACCTAAAACTTTACAGAAATTAATGTAGTTTTGTTGTAATGCTATTACTTAATCCTACTTATCAATATGTCGTGTAACTTTTCAGAACAGCTGGAAGTTGTTGAGGTGTCTTGGCTACAAAGTTAAACCAACATTTTATTCACCTTTGAGGATCAAAGTATCAAATCTAAAATCTAAATAAATACAATGGCTCATTCGATGCTTTGAGTTCAAATCACAGTTCAAGCTTAACTTAAATGTTTTTAATTAGTTTTTATCGTGAGGCCCTAATTTCATTTAAGTGATATTAATAGTTTTTAAAAAATCAGTTTGTCCCACTTGAGTGGTGTTTAGGAGCACTACTCCAAGAATGAATGTGGCCCATGTGTTGCATTGTGTATGATTACTGGTAAAACACGTTCAACTCAACTTTACAATTTATTGTTTCTGTTTTACTTAAGAGAACAAATTGTGAACTAAAAGATTTTTAAAAATCTTACAAATTCTCAATTCTAACACTCAAATGCATACATTTTTAAAGACAATGCAAAGAATTTTAAAAGAAATTCCAAGCTTGACCTTTTTTTTTTATTTTTACATTTCATTAAACTCTGCACCTTCAGGCAAACGGAACAAATATGTGGATCACTGAACTGGTAACACTGCAGGTCTTCTGCTTCTGTTAATGATGTTTTAAAATGTTTCTTTTGTGTTTGTCCGTTTCTTGTCGCATTATATTTTAAACATTATCATGTCATATTGTCTGATCAGTGGTTTGTATATTAATAACACCAGTTAAAGGTTGTTGAAATCTCGGCATGTGTTAATAAGGTTTTGTTTGTCTAGATTCGCTGCATGTTAAACATCTGGGGAGTGATCTTGTACCTGAGGCTGCCCTGGATCACAGCTCAAGCTGGTATCGGTACGTTCACCAGTCCTTCACCTGAGTCACTTTTAAATGTTTCTTCAGCTATAGATGAAGAAGCAAAGTGCAACATTCATATCTAGATTATGATTCATTTAACTTTTTATACACTTGCTTCTCAAAGTGGACACTTTGAGAGTAGATGAGACTAACTGAGCAAAAAATATTCTTTATTTTGCTTGCAAAAATTTAGACGCATTTGTAACAAAATGACCATTAAAACTTAAATCAGTTTATCGCATTTAAGTGTCAAGTGAATAAATGTAAGCATTTCATGTCAAATTTAACCACAAACTGTTTTTTTAAAGGACATATTTTCATTTTATCATTTATTTATAGGCAAAAAATTCTGATTTTAAGTTAAAAAAAAAAACTTTCTGTTTGACCAATTTATTTTTTTTGTTTATTTACTCGGACTATTTTCAGCTCAAGATATAAAATATACTTGGATTTGTTCTTTTCATTCTTCATATTTTCTGAGTGTCTCTTAAACCGTTACTAAATTTAATTTGGTAGAACCACTGTATACCATTAACACAGCCGTACCTATCCCCTTGCACACTTCTGAATTAATTTAACAATAATAGTTTTGTATAATCCATGTAAGTGATGTCAAACATTAATGGGGAATGTCCTCTGCTTCACTTCTACTTTTATGTCTGATCCTTTTTTGCTTCACACATGTTGTCAGTCCTCTTCTGCTTGGCACTAATGCCAAAGTAAAGTCTATCAAACATGTTTACACCCACTACCTTATTTTGGAGCATCTACAACTCACATTCTATAAAATTCCACTTTTTCTTGCAAGTAGGCATGGTTTTTAATCCCGCAGAGAGGAGAATCATGCATGCAGGACAAATGTGATCTATGTGCATATGTAAATGAAGTCATGTCCCAAGAGGTATCGCTTGTGCTCACTCCCTTGTTGATCAAGTTGCACAAAGGAAATGTGCTTTACTTTATGCACATGAACAGTTTCATACATCTGGATTTTTTTGTGCATACGCCGTTTTCACATTTTAAGCATACACCACATTTTAGTAGAAAATCCATGCACGTCTTTGAACACAAGATCCACGGTTTTCATGACGAACTACTCTTTGGTATAAATATGCTTTATTATCTACTGTACTGACAACAGGGCAAATAAACATCCAGACTATTATCTGCTCACTCTGACACTAAGATCTAGAGTTTGGTTAAATATTTGGTCAACCTCAACCGTTTTCTCTCTAACAGGTATGACTTGGGTGATTATCCTACTGTCCGCTTGTATAACTGGGATCACTGGGCTTTCGACCTCAGCCATAGCCACCAATGGCAAAGTTAAAGGAGGTTCGTCTTCTCAGTTCTCTGTCACTTAAGCATCAACCCATCTAGTCTTTTGTTGTTCTACTTTTCAGCACCCGGTCTGATTCTTCTCCTTGCACTCTTAGGCGGGACCTACTTCCTGATTAGTCGCAGCCTCGGCCCAGAACTTGGTGGCTCCATCGGTTTGATCTTTGCCTTCGCCAACGCTGTAGCTGTGGCCATGCACACTGTGGGCTTTTCTGAGACTGTCACCGACCTCATGAGTGTGAGAAGCATGAAATCTGTCATGTCTATACAAATCAGCTTTAAAAGATGTATCACGCACTAAACAGAAGCCCTTTAAATTCACTGTTAAACCTCTTCCTCAGGAGCATGGAGCTGTCATGGTGGACAAAACCAACGACATCCGCATCATTGGTATCATCACTGTCACATGTCTGCTGGGCATCTCAATGGCTGGTATGGCGTGGGAGTCAAAGGTGAGACTGATACAAGACTTTGTAGTGTTTATAATTACTAGTTGGAACTTAAAAAAAAACTGTGCACTAGTCAAATAGACCATCCAAAAATATTTCATTAGTAAAACCTGTTTTGTTTATTCATTAACAAACATATACGAGCCTTTCTTGTCAGAAAATATCACTCCGCATCTGTACAGTACTGTATAATGTTTCTTTTACAGGCTCAGATACTGTTTTTCCTGGTCATTATGGTGTCATTTGCCAGTTACATCGTTGGAACGATCATGCCAGCTTCACAAGAGAAACAAGCCAAAGGTTTCTTTGGCTACAGAGGTCAGTCATAGAATATCCTCCGGTTAAATGTAGAAGCTTTGCACATCACATGAACTGAAGCTCTTTGCAGACAAACTACTTGACGTCACCCAACAATCTAAGCAACTTTGATGAATATCTGGGCAACGCAGGATTTGTTTAAATGATGCTTAATTTCCAAGTCATGGTAACTAATGAGTCTTGCCACAGTTCTCCATTAAGCTTCATGATTTCACCTTTAACAGGAGATATCTTCGCAGTCAATTTTGTGCCGGACTGGCGGGGGCCCGGGGGCAGCTTTTTTGGCATGTTCTCCATCTTCTTCCCTTCTGCTACGGGCATCCTAGCAGGAGCCAACATCTCTGGAGACCTGAGGGTATGTTGGTTTATTTTTATTTGCTCCTTTTTTTATTCCAGCCTTGTATACATTATTATTGTCAATGGTGTGGTAATTGAAATAGTTATTGCCATATACTTTTAATATTATGTTTATGTTCCTACTGTCCCAGAATCCAACTGTGGCTATACCTCGAGGGACACTGATGGCGATATTCTGGACTACAATTTCCTACCTGATCATTTCTGCAACCATTGGTAAAGCTCAGTCTACTCCCAATACATGCATATCCTCTACTGTTTCAGGACTGATCAAAATATCCTTATGGTCATGTGACATGAAAGTTTTTATGACAGCACTGAAACTGCCCTATTGAAGGTTTTTAATGACATTTTCAGATTCACTGATACTGGTGATTCTGTGATGCTTGTCCTATTGGACCTCACAGCCGCCTTTGACACCATCGACCATGAGATCCTCATTGCTAGGTTGGAGCAGTGGGTGGGCATCACAGGGTCAGCCCTCATTTGGTTCAGATCCTACCTCGCTGACAGATCCTTTTGTGTCTCCATCAAGGATTTTAGTTCTGCAGTGACAGAGCTTAAATGGGGGGTTCCACATGGGGTCCATCCTGTGTCCATCCTGGGTCCCCTCCTATTCTCTCTATACCTGCTGCCACTTGGTGCTATTTTCCAGAAACACAACATGCCCTTTCACTTCAACGCCGACGACTGTCAAATTTACTTCCCCTAAGACACAATGGTACATGCTCTATTCAATCTCTGCTCGACTGCCTGGCTGACATCAGGGACTGAATGGCTTTAAACTTCTTAAGTTTCAATGAAAAGGAGTCTGAAGTCATGTTGTTCCCTCCCAATGACACGATCACAAACCACTGCATCGACCTTTCCACTCTATCCCTGTCAGAAAAACAAAGAGTCACTAATCTGGGCGTGATAATGGACCCTTCCCTGAAATCATGTTTTGTCCAACTGAGGCGGCTGTCTAAACTGAAGCCCATATTGTCCAAAAATAACCTAGACAGTAGTACACACATTCATTACATCTAGGCTTGATTACTTCAATTCGCTCCTGTTTGGTATCGATCAGACCTCCATTGCACGACTACAACTGGTCCAGAATGCAGCAGCCCGATTTTTAACCAGTACAGGCAAAAGAGAGCACATTACACCAGTTTTGGCCTCACTGCACTGGTTACCGGTTCACCTTCAAATCCAGTTCAAAATACTCCTGTATGTCTACAAATCGCTAAACAGTACAAGAAGCACATCTTTCTTTTTGCTTCTCCAAAAGGCTCCTGTGTTGTTCGGGATGCGTCTGGCTCGATGAATGACACGCTGCCATCGTCCATTGAGTCCTGCGTTGGTTTACCCTGTCAGTATGGCTGGGACTTCACAGCATGCGCCACTAATAACACCTGCAACTTCGGCATCAGTAACTACTATCAGGTCAATACAAACTCAAACGCTTGAGGCAGAAACTATTGAACTCTTTTTGAATCTTTCATTGTTTGTAATGTCAAATTTTGTTAAACATTTATATTATTAAACAAAATAAAAAGAAAAGTGATCATATTCTTATACTTAATGCTGTTTTTTCTAGTTTCATTTTTCAGTGAAAATGCTGTGTGAATTGTAAAGAAGCTAAAGCCAAGCTTTTAAAGCTAAAAGAAGCAGAATATCTAAATACAGTATAGTAAATGTTGGCTAAAACAGGAGCGAAAGGTTAAATGTATCAAGAAGAGATGAATGTAGCAAAAAGCTAGTTTAAAATAGCAAACGGCAAGTTAAAAGTGAAAGGGCTAAATATAATCTAAACAACAAAAAGCTAATTAAATGCTAAAAGTGTAGGTAAAAGCATCAGAAAGTTAGCAAAAAATAACAGAAGGCTAGCTAAGAATAGAAGTAGCAAAAGACTACCCTATCCATGCATCCATCTTCTCCCACTTCTTCCTTTCTGTGTCACGAGAGTCACTGGTGCCCATATCCAGCAGTCACTGTGTGAGAAGCGGGGGACACCCTAGACAGGTCTCAAGTCCATCACAGAGACACATAGAGACAAACGAACAATTTAGTGTTATTAATCAGCCTAGCATGCATGTTTTTGGTCTGTGGGAAGAAACCGGAGTACCCGAAAACCCATGCATGCACGGAGAGAACATGCAAACTCCACCCAGAAAGACCCCCGGCCAGGATTCCATCTGGCAACCTTCTTGCTGAAAGGTGGCAGCTCTACTAATCAATTATGTAGAGTTAGCATTTTTGGAAAGTATTAAATTTATAAAATACTGAATTATTCTAAACGAGATTAATATTTTGGTGAACGATTTACTAAAATAGCTCACAGTGCGCATTAGTAGTAAGAATGCAAAAAAACACGTGAACAAAGAAACAAAAAATGTGAAAGCCACTTGTTTTCGCACTAAATGCTGATTCAACATTCACACAATAGGAAAAGTTTAAAAGAAGGAAACTTAAAAATGGAGGAGGTGTTTTTTTGACCTGCTCTGAAAGTTTTACCGGTTTCTGTTTACGCTGAAGCGTCACATTGACATGTTGCAGAAATTTTTAAAGATGACAACGTAGGGAATTTCTGTGCCATGTGAGCTGAGGCTAATGAGTAAAATCTTTTCTGTGATAGTCACTCAGCATGGTATCAGCCTTCTCCCCGCTCATCACTGCTGGTATTTTTGGAGCTACTCTGTCCTCTGCTTTGGCCTGCCTGGTGTCGGCTCCCAAAGTCTTCCAGGTACAAGCGCATCTGAACAGCTTTGAGGAGATGCACTGTCGTCTTTACAGCCAAAGCTATTTCTTGATTTATTTTCTCTTGACTAAAATGTGTGTTTGTTTCTGCTGCCACGTCTTCCTCTCAGTGTCTCTGTAAGGACCATCTTTACCCTCTCATTGGCTTCTTTGGCAAAGGTTATGGAAAAAACAATGAACCGCTCAGAAGCTACCTGCTCACATACCTCATAGCTTCCTGCTTCATCATCATTGGTGAGTATTTAGAGAGATACGGATTTCTTACCAAATGTTTAAAACCCAAATGGTGTTGACTCAACATCCAGAAACAATAAAATGAGATTACAGATTAAGATTTTTTTCTTTATAGACCAGAAAATGTATCCTCCTCTTAAACTATGACTACAATTTTAGTATTTCTCAAGAGCAAATACAGCTTATAATGGCATGTAATACATTTTAAACTAAAGTTTCTAGAAGTTTGATTCAGTTGTAGCTATAATTCATAGTTTTTGATTGAATTTATTACACAAATAAATCAGCTAGATGTTTATGCATTTATAATGATTCTTCTCAATAATCTCCTGAAATTATTAAAGGTGTTATTCTGTTACAGATCATTTCTGAAATATTTAAATAAGAACACGTGGTATAATTTGAGTGTGATAGTGATTTGGCTGACAAGAAAGCTCTTAAGGCTGCTTGCCTAAGATATGAAAATCTATTATTTTCTTGTTTGACCTTCTGCCAGCCGAGTTGAACACCATCGCACCCATCATCTCCAACTTCTACCTGTGCTCCTATTCTCTGGTCAACTTCAGCTGCTTCCATGCCTCCATCACCAATTCACCAGGTAGCCCAGCCACTTGGCTTGAACAAACGCTTTGAATGCATGGCAGTGTAAAGGTATAAAAAACATCAATGTGTGAAAAAGGTAAATATTTTATGTTGCAGAGAAATGCTTTTAGACCGTTTTTATGTCTGCTGATTATTGAATCTTTATCATTATTTCTAATAAACCAACAAATACTAGCTTGTTTCTGACAAAAAAGGATGTACCAATAGTCTTGCCATGCAGTCAGTGCGTTAGTGAGAATTTTTAAAACAATTTCGTTTTATTTGTGCATTTTGACTCAAATATATGAACTTTTGTCCAATTAGTACTGAAGTATTAATATAGCTTCAACATCTTCAACAAATTCACGTGTGGCTCCAAAATGACTACAATAGCAACTACAATAATGAACCACCAGGGGGCAGTAATGACACCTTGACCTGCTGGTTGACCCATGAGATAAGATATAAGATAAGATAGGAATTTTGTTGTTCCCGCAGAAAATTGTTGTGCCAGAGATTCAATAGAAATCACAATATATAAAAATGCCAGAGAATATAAAATACCAAAAATGAAGGTCCGAAACAAGTCAGGTGCAGACAGAAACATTCAAATGTTTCTTGTAGTGCAGGATTAAGGGGATCTTCTTAAGATCAGGATTAAAGGGGTTTTTTTTTTTAAGGGGAGTGGTGGCGCAGAGGTTAGAAAAGGTGGGCCTGTGATCAGAAGGTCGCCGGTTCAACTCCCTGTACCGACAACGTCAAAATGTGGGTGGGAAAGGTGAAGCACTAACACCCGCCTCTACCCTCATATGCCCCACTCTGTGCCCTTGAGCAAGGCCCTCAACCCCCACCATCTTCTCCCTCGGGCGCCCTAAAGAGCAGCTCTCTGCTCCACACGGAGGACTGTGGTAGCGTTAAGAAGGACATCCGGTGTAAAAACAGCTGCCAAGTCTTTGTGTGAGAAAATTCGCTGTGGTGACCCCTGAAGAAGGGATCAGTCGAAAGAAGAAGAAAGAAAGAATTGTAGTACAGGATTAATTTTATTGTCCTATGTGCAGAAAGGGGGAGGAGTTGAAAAATTTGATAGCTACAGGGAGGAAGAACTTCCTGTGGCGTTCTGTGGAGCACCTCGGTGGTCTCAGTCTACGACTGAAGGTGCTGCAGTAAGAGTCCAGGGTGTCATGCAGGGGGTGTGACGTGTTGTTCAGGATCTGGAGCGGTTTCCTCGGTATCCTGTGCTCAGACACCTCTGTCAGAGACTGCAGGTTCACTCCCAGAACTGAGCCAGCTCTCTTGATGAGTTTATTTAGTCTGTTGGCATCGGCTTTCTTCACCCTGCTGCCCCAGCACACCACAGCGTAGAAGAAGATGCCGGAGACCACCAAGTGGTAAAACATCTGCAGCATGGTCCTGTAGATGTTAAAGGACCTGAGTCTCCTCAGAAAAAAGGCAAGTCTGCCCTGTCTTGTAAAGGGCGTTGGTTTTAGCTGTCCAGTCCAGTTTATTGTCTAGGTGTACCCCCAGGTACTTGTATCAGTCCACAGTGTCCACCTTAGTACCCTTGATGTTGATAGGGTTGTGTGTGTGTGTGTGTGGGGGGGGGGATCTTCTTATTGTAGTCCACCTGCAGCTCTTTAGTTTTTTCCAGCATTGAGTTGCAGGTGGTTCTGTCCATCACACCTCTGAATTCAGCTTCCTGGTCACCAGTGATGCAGCTCACAATGGCAGAGTCATCCAGAACTTCTGCAGATGGCAGGATTCTGAATTGTATCTGAAATCCAATGTGTAGAGGATGAACAGAAATGGTGAGAGGACTGTGCCCTGAGGAGCCCCTGTGCTGCTCAGTATGGTGTCCAAGGGGGTGTTCTGCAGCCTCACATACTGTGGTCGACCTGTGAGGTAGTCCCCGATCCAGGTGACCAGTGAGTCATTCACCGGCATGTCCAGAAGTGATGCATAATAATAATAATAATAATAATAATAATAATAATCATTTACAATCAAGAGAAAATGTGAATGTGGATTAAAATGAGTAGTAAAACAGATCATCAAGGATTTAAAGCTTAGCTGTCAAGTAAAATATTGGGTTGTACTTACAGTATGAGCAGGAGATGGATGGTAAGCATGACACTGTAACTAAAAAATGTGGATTCTTCTTTGATTTAATTTCACAAATACATGTTTTTTTACAGTCTAATGCAATATCTTGTGGCTAAATTAATTAGTTAATTAACTAATTCTGCTTAAAAGGAAATGTAAATAATATGCAGGCTTTCAGAGAATCTGAGCGTCAAGCAGGAACCAGGAAGATCTCAGACTAAATGTCAACATGTGAATTTATATGAAATGCTTGAAGACGACAAATAAAAAGTACAGACCTATCATCAGGCTCTTTTCATACAGCCATATTGTGATTTAATTTTTTCCAGCTCTTATTTGATCAAATTTGTGACATTTTATTTGCTTCTACGTTGTTTGTTTCTGCATATCAGTATTGAGCAGTCCTTATTGATCTTCTGACAACACATGAAATCATTTTTTTTGCATGTCATCATATAGTGTGTGTGTCATGTTTACATGAATGCGTGTGTGCAGGTTGGCGTCCGTCCTTCAGGTTCTACAGTAAGTGGCTCTCTCTGCTGTGTGCCGTGATTTGTTTGGTGATCATGTTCCTGCTGACTTGGTGGGCAGCTCTTATTGCCATCGGTGTTGTCATGTTCTTCCTGGGATACACACTGTACAAAAAGCCAGGTAACTTCACACAAACATGCAGTCAGACAGTGGGTGCAGAGACACACTGCTGCTTCACCCACTGTCTCCCCTGTGTTTAGAGGTGAACTGGGGCTCATCGGTGCAGGCGAGCTCCTACAACTTGGCTTTGACTCATTGTGTGGGCCTGAACCTTGTGGAGGACCACGTCAAAAACTACAGGTCAGTCAACAGAGTTCCTGTATCGAAGGACAGTCATCCAACTAAAAATGACACAAGCAAGCTGAGAATCTAAGAACCAGGTTTGAAAACAACTAGAGAAACTGCAGTGTGAATGCTTGTTGCAGAAAAAGTTGCTGTAAAACAGCTGAAATTAGCTTAAAAAAAATAATAATTTTGAAACCCAGCTCAAAATGTAGAACAAGGGTAAGCAGAAAGAACACAAAAGTTGAAATTAGTGCAAAAAATGTGGAATTAGCTGAAAAAGCTAATACTTGCATGAAACAGCTAAATAGTAGCTGAATTAACTGAAACTAGCATAAATAAGCAGAAAGTAGCAGAAATTATCATGAAAAACTTTAATTTATCTGAAACGGCTGAAATTAGCTCAAGTATTTCCTAAAAAGGTAGCTGAAAACAAAGGCAGAACAAGCTTAAACTACCATAAGAAAGCAGAAGGAACACGTTTGCCCAGTTAGGCTGAAAGAAGCATAAATTAGCGCAAAAAAGTGGAAATAATCTAAAAAAAAAAGAAGCTTACATTACCACCAACAACAAAACAGCTGAAAAGTAGCTAAAAAAGCAGAAAAAAACTTTAATTACCAGAAGGAAGTGAGAGCACGTTTTAGCTGAATTAGTTTGAAAAAAGTTTAAATGAGTACAACAAAAGTGGGATTAGCTGAAAAGGCCAAAATTAGCATAAAACAGCTAAATAGTAGCTGAAATATCAGAAAAAGCTGAAATTTGTAGAAATAAGCTGAAAGGAGCATAACAAGCTGAAATTAGCAGAAAGGTACAAGAAGCACAAAAATGTTGTAGTTGGCCAAAAGAATCGGAAAGGAGCACAAAAAGTCTGATAAAACGGTTGAAGTTAGTTTAAAGTAGCTGGAAAACAGTTTAAATTTGGAGAAGGAAACTGAAAGAAGCTGAGCCAGAGCAAAATGTGAAAGGAGCAGTAAAAGGTTGTAAACAGATCTAAAGATGTGAAGGATGTAAAATGAGCTCAACTCATTTTCTATGAGGGAAAAAAAAAAGTGTCAGAAAAGGCTAAATATTTCAAAAAGCTAAAGTTGCACTGATACCAAAAGTCAGAGCAGCCGTCTCCTGAATGAGCAGAACGTTTTGATATATGATTTGTTGAAATAGCACAGAAACTGTGCAACGAGAAGCTGAACAACATACAGAAGAAAAATGGATGACAATAGTGTGAACGAATCCTAAACATTCGCACAATGAACTTTTCATTTAACACTTCTTTCTCGCCCATGCTCTGAACTAAACATCTCCGTATCTGCCTCTGATTGTTTTAGGCCCCAGTGTTTGGTGCTGACCGGACCTCCCAGCAGTCGTCCGGCCCTCGTGGATCTCGTCAACTGTTTCACGAAAAATCTCAGCCTCATGATGTGTGGAAATGTGGTCACAGTGCGTATAGCTTTTTAAATATACCAAGTCATTTTAACGTCTTCAGTGTTTCACCGTAATGATTTGCCTTTTTTTTCCTCAGGCCTGCTCGTCTCCATCAGTTTTAGAAAAGGCGAGCAGCAACAGTCACGTGTTCTGGCTGAACCAAAGGAAGATCAAGTCGTTCTACAGAGGAGTGGTGGCTGAAGAGCTCAGATCTGGGGTTGCCATGCTGCTGCAGGTCAGAGCTGCACCGCACTTTACAGCTACTCTACATTGTAACCATTGTTTGTCAGTGATAGATGAGCTGAGCTGAGTTCAGTCCAAAGTGAAACCTCTGTTCTGTGTTCTTCCCTTGTTGCTGACGTTCACCAGGGGGCAGGTTTGGGTCGGATCAAGCCAAACGTTCTGGTGTTGGGTTTCAAAAAAGCCTGGCGCAGTGACTCACCTATGGCTGCTCACAACTACACAGGAATCCTACAGTGAGTACATCAAAAACTACTATGTGTGATTTAGTTTAAGACCTTCAACTGCAACATATATTGGACAAGAATAACTATTAACGTTTTTTTTGGATCAGAATCAAATCAAGTTTGTTTCATTTGTGTTTCAGTGATGCGTTTGATCTGCAGTACAGTGTGTGCATGCTGAGAACAAAAGAAGGGTTAGATATGTCTACTACTACTACAACAACTACTACTACTCCTCTGTCTCAGCATGGTGAGTGCGTTCATTGATTTTAAACAGAACAAATTGTCAAAATGTCTGTAAAGCCACCATTAAACTCTTGATTGCTGCAGCTGCTCCTGTGTATCCACGCCAGTGTGATCGGGGAAACGGCAGCCCACTTTCATCCATCATCATTTAAGTGACTAAATGTGATTAAATCATATTCATCTGTTTCAGTAAATGAAAGTTTTGACACGGGACCAGACAGTATAAGCACCATCTCTACCCCTTCACTTATTCGAACCAGCGTTACATGTATGTACAGTGTGTGTTATCATGCACAATCATGCATTTTAAGGTAAATCTCTATATAATGTGTGAATATATTGTTTGTTCATTATGTTTTTGTTCACAGCTTCTGTCACTATTGAACCTGAGCCTCAGCCCAGTACCGTTTTCCAGAAAAAACAGGGGAAGAAGACTATTGATGTGTACTGGCTGGCTGACGATGGAGGTGTGATTATAATATATTAATTATTTTCATTAGTTTCTTGTAGTTTTGTTTTATTGAAGATAGCCTACTTCAACATATTTTGCACTATTTAAACCATATATCAAAACATTTTTGCTTAATTAGGAATAATGTTCTATAATTATTATTCGTACATTTTATACTTTTTTTAAATGATTTAACTTTATTTGCCAAACATTTCCTCCTAATAAACTGAGATCACGTAAATTCTGTTGAAAACCTTATTTTGAAATCTTTTTTTTTTAGCAATATTTTTTACTTTGTTTCACAAATTATAGTTTTTAGCCACTGTTTTGCTCATTTTAGCTATTAACTGTGGTATGTTAAATTTAGCTTTTGTTAATCTAGTTTTGTTTGTTTTAGCTTTTTGCTTTTTTTTAAGCAACTTTATTTTTTTTAGCTATGTTTTAGTCATTTCAGTTTAATAATAATAATAATGAAGTGCTATATGTTGTCATCATTGTATGTTCCCATACAAAGACGAAATTGGCTCGCTGCATTTGACCCATTGCAGAGCAACAGTTTTACAAGTTTTAGCTTTTTTTTTTTTAACAGTTTTGTTAATTTTAACTTTTAGCTTTGGTTTTACTCATTTTAGCTATTAACTGTGGTGTGGTATGTTAAATTTAGCTTTTGTTAATCTTGTTTTGTTTATTTGAGCTTTTTACTACATTTTAAACAACTTTATTTTTTAGCTATGTTTTAGTCATTTCAGTTTAGAGCGACAGTTTTGCAAGTTTTAGCTTTTTGCTACTGTTTTGTTAATTTTAACTTTTAGCTTTGGTTTTGCTCATTTTTGCTTTTAGATGCAATTACCGTGTTTTCCAGCGTAAAAGCTGCACCACCATTTAAGTCGCATCAGTCCAAAAATGTCTAATAAAGTGGAAAAAACATAAATGAGTCACTTCACCGTGTAAGTCGCATCTATTATGCATTCACCGCTGACCACCAGGAAACGTGGACCGGTGTTTTGTCAAAAATCAATTGGCTGCTAAAATGGTGGCTGCGGGAGCGTGCACGGGAAGACTTTAACAAGAATTTAACAAGATTAACACTTACAGTTATTTGTTTGTTAGAAATTATAGCAAAGCTGTGTCTCAGTTGAACTTTTCCTTAATAAATGCACTTTAATGGTCAAATCAGCTGCATTTCTCCTGGGTGGCGTGACAAAATGCAGCTGATTTGACATTTGCTCCAGGAGTTCTGGAGCAAGATGAAGGTGGCTTTGTATGGCAAGCCAAATGTCTCATTAATAGCCACTTTTACTTATTAATGAGACTCTTGGCTTGCCATAAGGCTCCAGGGCCCTCTAGTGGCTGCAAATGGTAATGTTTAATATTTTTCATGCTAGAATGAATGACACTGTCAGAAAATTGGGTTATAACTACGGGGGTGGAGAATGTATATTAGTCGCTTTGGTGTATAAGTCGCAGGACTTATACAGCGAAATGTACAGTATTTCAATTTAACTTTTAGCTTTACATTTGCTCATTTTATCTGCAGCTACAATATTAGTTAGTTTTAGCTTTTAGTCACTGTTTTACCAATTTTAGCATTTGGCTTCTATTTTACTCAACTTAGTTTGCAAGCTAAAATTGTGCAAATTTTAGCTCCGTTTGGCTAATTTTAGCTTATTTCTGCTGGTTTTAAATGCTACCAGCTCAGTTTTGGCTTATTCAACAAATTTCGTTTGGTGTTCCCTTTATTTTATTTTCACAGAAAATGTAAATTCTTTAGTTTTTGAACGTTTTCTCATCCGTTTTTGTGTCATTTAGGTCTGACTCTGCTGCTGCCGTACCTGCTGACCCGCAGGAAGCGCTGGGCCAGGTGTAAAGTCCGAGTGTTTGTGGGAGGAGAAACGGACAAAAAGGAGGAGCAGAAGGAGGAGTGAGCATTTGGAAATTGATATATTGAAAAAGACATTGTATTTTTGATGTGACCCACAATAAACAGTAATGTTTTTATTTATTTACGTACAGGCATCTATAAACAATATTACGACATTTATTTATTTTTGTTTATTTACCCAAGTTAACCAGAGGCTAGATGTACAGCATATTATTGCGCATGGTAGCATTTAAATTTGACCTAATATAAAACACATACATATGCATTTGACATCAATTAATATTTATTTATTCTTAATAACCGTATTTTATATTATTTAAGAGTTTTCTCTCAATAACTTTTGACATAATGTGTCTTAAAATAAAAAAAGCTGAGCAAGATCTTAAAGTGCATTATAAGCTGAACTGAACTTCGGAGTTTGGATTTATCTTGTGTTTAATAAGCTATTCATGTTCATGTTAAATGATTTGTTTTATTACTTTTGTTTATATAAATCAGCAGTCTTGAAGCAATAGAAGAGCCCATGTTGTGATTAAGTGACTTATTTTCAGTTTTTAAAGACGTCTAAAGTGTAACCTTTCAGTGCCGTTCTGTTTTCTTCACAGGGTTTTGTCACTCATCAAGAAGTTTCGTCTTGGTTTTCACGATGTTGAAGTACTTCCTGACATCTACCAGAGTCCTCAGCCCGTGAAGTAAGAAAAAACAAAGACTGACAGTAAAATGGGAAAATAAATATATATATATATATATAAAAAAAAAAGGATAATGCACTCAAAAATAAAATACCCATAATAAAATATAAAATGATTCCACACAAGTTGCTATAAATCTGTTTCAAGCTATGAAAAATGGTGACACTGATAAAAGGAACAAGCATTTTTAAAAGAGCAATTCAGTTCCTGTTACCTTGAAAACAGATTTACAAATATCTGTAATGAAAAATAAAAAATTTAGACTGGTTAGTGATGGTGCAAATTCCATGCAGAAATGCAACTACTAGAAAGAAAGCTGTAATTCTTGCTTGTTTAATTTTGCCCCAGCGTCCATCACTTTGAAAACATGATCCGACGCTTCAAGCTGGAATCCAACCCAAAACAGGAGTCTGACTCTGGACCGCCGAGACAGCAGAATGCCCCCTGGATGATCACAGAACAGGATTTAGACAGAAACATGGCCAAGGTTTGACACAAGCTGATCATTCGAAAGATCTTCATCGTACCTTCTTCTCTAAATTTAACTCTGTGTGGGCTTCAGTCTCTCCGTCAGATCCGTCTGAATGAGGTTCTGCAGGATTACTCCAGAGACGCTGCTCTTATCGTGATGTGAGTGCACCGTTTCTTCTTATTGCTGCTTCTTCCTTACAAAATAAAAGACTGTTATGAGCTGAAAACAAACCATGTCACATTTCCGTCACTGCATCTCTTGACAGCACCATGCCGGTGGCAAGGAGAGGAGTGTGTCCCAGTTCTCTCTACATGGCCTGGCTCGACATCTTGTCTCGGGATCTTAGACCCCCAGTACTGATGGTCCGAGGAAACCAGGAAAGCGTTTTAACATTCTACTGCCAATAAAACGTATCTTTGAGTTTGTTGTTGATACAATGAAGCAAATCTGACATTGCAGTGTTTTTCTGATTTATATATATTATATATACAATTTTGATATTGATGTTTAATCCACCATCTCAATGCTCATATGCACTAAAAACTGCTGGGTTATTTTGATAACTTAATTGCAGAGTTAAAACTGTTGGGTCATAGGTTGAACTGGGCGTTCCAAATTTTGGGTCAAAAGGTTTGACCTAGTGGTTAGGTTGAAGATGAGCTGTGTCTTCACAGTCCAACAGCTTGAAGGTGACTAAATTGGACCTGACTGGACCTCTGTTTTAGGATGCAACTAATAAAGATAATGAAGTAAAAAATAACTTGAGATTTTTAGCTTGGTTAGCTTGATTAATACATACTGAAGGTATAGTTGTGTTAACTTGCTGACACTAATAGCAGATGTTAGCTAGCTAGCTTTGGGGTTAATCTCTTAAACTCAACTTACTATAGCTCTAATTCAATAAAGTATTCATTGATGTAATATTTAGGTGGAAAATTTAACACAGTGTTAGGTCAGCCCTACAACCGGAATAAAAGAGGGTTTAAAAAGTATGTTTGGTTGGTTGGTGTTTGGTAAGTATGTTGCATTTTGTGTGTGTGTGGGGGGGGGGGGGGGGGGGGTGCTGCCTGATGTGCCAGAGTTGTACCTTTATAACCAAAGCAGTAGCTGCATGTGCATTCTTGGCACAAAGTCCATCTCATTCGCGGTGTGGGTTGGACTCCGCCAAGACCATCTCCTGTCCCTGATCCCGTTTGTGGTGTTCATGGGCATAATCTGCAGGCGCAGTCATGGAGAAGATGGTGTCTGATTTGAGAACTTCAGGGTTTATGCTCTGCTTTACGCGGATGATGTGGTTCTGTTGGCGTCTTCAAGCCATGACCTTCAGAGTGCAATGGGGCAGTTTTTAGTCAAGTGTGAATCAGCTGTAAGAGTCACCTCCTCTAGGTCTGAGGCCACAGTTCTCAGCTAGAAATGTGTGGAATGGTCCCTTTGGGTTGGATAGGGAGCCTTTATTGCCACTAGTGGAGGAGTTGCGGGATCTGAGCATTTTGTTCACAAGTGATGATGAAATGAAGAATGAGATGGATCAACAGATTGGGGCCTTATCCTCAGTAATGAGGGTGTTGCTTCAGTTGGTCGTGGAGAATAAAGTGTTTAGCTAAAGGTAAAACTCTTGATTTACTGGTCTGTCTACATTCCAACCCTCACCTGTGGTCATGAGGTCTGGATCATAACCAAAAGAACTAGATCCTGGATACGGACAGGTGAAACGAGCTTCCTTCACAAGGTGGCTGGGCTAGGCTTTAGAGATAGGGTGAAGAGCTCCATCATCCTGGGGGAGCTTGGATTAAAACTGTTCCTTCACATTGAAAAGAATCAGTTCAGGTGGTCCAGGCATTTGATTAGGTTGCCTCCTGGTTGCTTCCCTTTAGTGGTGTTTTGGGCATATTCCACTGGGAAGAGGCTCCGGCAGACCTTAAACTCACTGGAGGGATTGTGTATTTTCTCTGGCCTGGGAATGTCTTTGGGTCTCCCAGGTGGAGCTGGATAGTGTTGCTGGGGAGAGGGATGTCTAGGTTTCTCTCCTGGATCTGTTGTCTGCAATACGACTAATGTCAAGTAGTATAAGTTGGTTGGTTGGGTGGGTGGGTCAAGCTGAAAACCTAACTATTGTGCTAAAACTGCATGGGTTGTCTCCGTCCAAAATTGACGCCAGTGCTGTGTTATAATTTGGGTTGTTTTTAACCCAGCAATTTTCAGTGTGTAGACATTTAAGAGGTATCAAAAAATGTATAATTCAACAGCTTATTTTGAGAACACTGAAATATTTGCTTATTTTCTTTAGATTGTATTTACAAATTAAAGAAATGTAAAGTGCAATGGTAGTTGAAATGAAGGATGAATGCTAAAAAAATTGCTCTTCAAACTTGCTTTGTTATACTTTATAAGATAATTTTTTACCCTGGTTTGTAATTCATTATATGAATATTAAGGGTTTATTTACTATTAATACTTTTGTGTGTTATAAAACAGTTTACACTGAGGAGACTAGATGAGCCAAAACAGTAAAAAAAAAAAAAAAAAAAAAAACTAAATCAAAGTTTCTACTTTAATGACTATGTGTTGATTCTGTACAGTGCAACTTTAAGCTGATTTTGGCATTTCACTTTTTGTATATGTAGGATCTTCTAGAGATGTTGATTATAACTGTATATTTATTATATCTGGATATTTTGACTTTGCAGAATAAACAAAAAACAATTTTGTGTCGGTGATATGAAGTTTCTTTCTTTCCCAATTCAATAAAATAGACATTTTAGTTAAAAATTCTCTGAACTGCTTTTATGAAATGTATATGTTGTCAGTTTATATAT